TTGCTAATTATGCAACTTACTTTATTCAACCCTTATTCAAATTCAATTTCAGTATGACTCGGTTCACTCAGTCGTTCTTATGGCAGGTGTGGCAATTAGCTGCACCATCTTTTACAGCTTGGCGTACAGATCCGCTCGGAATGAGCGCTTGAAAAATCGCAGTTTATCGGTACGTTCGATTCAAATAAAATTGTAAACTCTCGCCTCTCAATGCATTTTTCTCTCTTATAATGCCTCCTCAAACTATTCCAAATCAGAAAACTGACAAAACCCGATTAATCAGTACAAATTGAGCTAGAGCCCATCACCTGCTGATCAAACCTTTTTTTAAGGTTGTGGACCGTAATCTGTTTGTCTGCGCTCTTTTTTCAACTCTGCCTGATTTAGCTGAACTCGCAAGAGCTGTCATTTGTGGATATGCCACAATATCTCAAAACGATAACCTTTATGCTCTTGCTACAGCATGGGGGTATGTTATTCGATTAACCATTAAAACCTTTTTACCAAAGACAAAGTTCATATCTCTTATTCAGTTTCTATCAAGTGGAAATAATGGCCACGCTACCAGTATGGTTGCACTTGCTTATCAATGTTGAGTTGCGGCGAAATGTTTGGGCCAGCTTTAGAAGAAACAACATTGAATCCCGAGGGACAGGAGCAGCTCGATGTAACACTCTTTGTGCATCTTGATAATTTGTTATGAAACATAATTTGCAAGTGTATATGTCCTCTTCACAGTTCTTTTAGAGGATTAAGTCTGCTTCTTTTCATTTTCAAAAACAAATTTAATCATCAAATCATAGTTATATCACTACTATTATATCACCTCACGCTTAAATGTTTGAGCTTGACTTCATCAGTGAACCAGATATACAGAGCTCTCTCAATCCGTGTGACTGTGTGGTTAAAAAAACATTTATAGGTATAGGACAATTTCTGACCAACGTTTGATATAATGGGAATGAATTACTTTCAAATTACCATTATTTTATATTATGATTTATCACCGTATCATACTTCTAAGACAACATCACACATGACGCATTTATAACTTCTTTAGGAGCGCTTTTTAGATAAGAGTTAACTCATTTTATCAAGACGAACATTTCAATTGCTACACTGTCTCATCACCGTCCAGAAATACGGTATGTACACGGTATTTGGCAAGTGTGGTAAATCCCTCTAAAATATCCAGTCTAAGAAGGCTATTTGGTAATGCCGAAAACATTAATGACGAAAAAAAACATTTGTCACGGCATCACTTTACTGTGCAAATACATAGAAGGTACAGACCAAGGTAGTGGATCGATATCACGATAAAATTTGAAACTTTGTTAAGTCGGCAGTAAGATCCGGCTACTTCTTTTATGCTCTTCGAAAATTCAGCGAGACAAAAAATGCTTACAATCGTATGTTGTATTCATAGGATAATTTAAGTTTATTTTAGTTCTTATCATTGAGCAACTTGGTGTATCGGGCGGTAGCCCATTGTTGGCAGATGCACTCATATATTGTCTACCACTTACCATTCTCAATTGAAATTGTGCAGCCAGAATGATATTAATAATAGCAGCCAAGATACCTAAAATCAGTACGTCATTTTTGGATAAGGTTAAGCTACTTTAAAAAGCCCGCAGTCCATACGTCCATATTGGCAGTTCCTTCTATCAGTACCATTGTGATGCACATTGAGCAAAGCATATTCGAATAAGATGTTGAATCATGAGGGCTTTCGATTAGTTCATGTGTACCATGGCAATCTAAAAATAACCCGTTTATTTGGATGTTTTCAAAGCAACAAACGAAATATTCCGTTCTCCGAAAAAATTCCCAAATCTTTCAATATTAGGAGCCAGCAGAAGGTGCGCCGTTTTGAGAACTGAATCTGAACCTACCAGTTGTCAAAAGGCCAATCTACACGAGTTGGCGTTGACATCAATAATTTCGAAAAAGCCAGTTCTTTTATGAGCTATGCAAGAGTCCATAATTCAGCTGTACTTTTCTACATTTCCAAATCGGTTTT